AGCGCCGCCAGCTGCTCCAGACGCTCCGACCGGCGCGCCACCAGCACTAGCGAGAAGCCCGACACGGCTAGCTGGCGCGCAAACTCCGCGCCGATGCCCGACGACGCGCCCGTGACCACCGCCCACTCGCCGTACTTGCGCGTGAGGGGCGTCGTGCCGCGCGTGGCGGCGGAGGCGGCGGAGGCGGACATCGCCGGCGGCGTCGGGAGGAAGGCTTGCATGGAGCGGCCCGGTTGGGGGAGGGGGGAGCGTGGGGCGAGGAGGCGAGGCGAGGAGGGGCAAGGGGAGGAGGCGCGGAGGGGAGACGAAGAGGGGCAAGAGGAGGAGGCGAGGAGGGGAGACGAAGAGGGGCAAGAGGAGGAGGCGAGGTAAAAGAGGAGGGAGGCAAGATTCGAGCGATGCGATGATTGGTGATCGGGGGGGCAATGGGGGCAGATTTACTGCGTCAGATTTACTGCGTCACGCGGTGGGATGGTGCGTAAACTCGATCCTACTTCCGCAGGGCTCCAGGCACATGAAGTGGGTGAGCGGGGTGCCCTGGACGCTCTGGACCTCGAACTCGACGATGACGCCGTCCACGGCCTTGACGGCGGCCAGGGCCTTGTCCAGGGCGTCCAGCGACGGGACCTTGAGGGCCAGGTGGTGCAGGCCGACGTTGCCCTTCCGGTCGAACGGGACCGGGGCGTCCGTCTGGGCCTTCCACACAGTCAGCATCACGGCGCCGTCCGACAGGAAGACCGACGGGTACTCCGGCACGCCGCCCACACGCTTGAAGCCCACCGCCTCGAAGAACGACACCGTCTTCTCCACGTCGCCGACCGTCAGCCCGACGTGGCTCGTTCCGCACGTTAACGCCATTGTGTTGATTTTGTTTAATTGGCACCGGGAACACCGCAAGGAGCGTGCCGCCTTTTTATACCGCCTCGCCGTCCATGGTCGGTTGCTTATAGACAGCACCTACAATACGTGCGTGCTGTAGTGCTGTAGGTAATACAGTGCTGCTGGTCCTGTCGGAAGAAACGGGGCATTGCGGTGACGCGGCGGTAGCGCGGGCGGCGTATGGGGCACTGTGGTGTGGCGCGCGTTTCTCGTTTCCGGGCAGTGGTTCCATGCAGGGTTCCATGCAGGGTTCCATGCAGGGACAAGTAAGCTCGGTCATCGACCTAATTTATAACAAGTAGCGGTAGCCTGTAGGGCAGGCGACTCCCTCACACGGAGTACGACAATTGATGGTCTCGAATTTCCCATATTGGAGTCACCAAGCCACCGGCGGCCGCCCGAAGACTCGAGGACTGGGGGGCCTCGGTGTTCATCGCATCACACGGGCACGTGCTCCATGCACGCATATCATACAGTGCATGCGAGAGGCAGCGTGGCGACACGGCACGGCGCCGGCGGCGAGGGGACGGGAGGGGACTCCTGGTTCACTTGCCCCTTCTTTTTCTTTACAGTATCACAGGTACAGTATCACAGGGTATCATAGGGGCATATCCTAACGCCCCACTCCGCTCGCGCCACTTGCCGCCGCGCGTGTGGCCCCAAGCCATCCACCCCGCCCGCGCCACTTGCCGCCGAGCGTGTGGCCTCCCGCCACCCACTCCGCGCGCGCCACTTGCCGCGCCCGCACGCCCCGCGCCCCGCCCACTCCGGACACCACACTTGCCGCCCGTCCACACCTGCCACCCTCCGCTTCCATCCCCTCGCGCCCCCGCCTCCTCCAGCCCCGCACCCGCCCCTCCGCCCCCCGCCCCTCCGCCCCCGCCC